TACGCTTGTTTGCTTTATTTCATCATTTTATTCATCAATGAGTTCTATTTTGTCTCTTCTATTTGTACTCTCATGAAATCAGCAAAATTCAGCTTCAACTTTGGATGAAAGCTACTTTCACTGACCTAGCGTAAATGGCCAATTATCGGATTGTACCAACTATCAAAATAGTATTTGCCAAATATCGAAAATTCATAGTATACGGACTTTTACTGATAATAATCCTGTACCGCCCATATAAAAATGGCTCCTGGCAGGTAAGATGTGTATAATTGTGTTGTTGCTGGACTTATTGGTATATTTTAGAAGAGGAAGGAAGTGGTGAATTCGCTCCAGTTCTGCTCCTCCAGCACTATAGTCTCCTGCTAAGAAAAGAAGGAGAAAAAACTGGTCTGAGGAGTCTATGTTGTCAGCCATTGAAGCTGTCAAGAATGGCTCATCAGTATACAGGGCTGCTTTGGAGTGTGGAGTTCCCAAGACTACTTTACACGATAGAATATCAGGCAGAGTAATACAAGGAACAAAGCCAGGGCCTGAAAAATACTTAACACAAGAAGAAGAAAGAGAACTAAGTGATTTTCTAATTGTGGTTGGTGAGGTGGGATTTGGAAAGACTCGTAAGCAAATCAAAGAGATAGCTGAGAAAGTTGCACGAGAGAAAGGTCTGCTAAAAGGGAAGAAAATATCTGATGGTTGGTTTTGCCGTTTCATGGAGAGAAATCCTCAACTTGCTCTTCGTAAAGGAGATTCCACTTCAAAAGCACAAATGTCTGCAATGAGTCGAAAGGATGAGATACTTTGCTACTTTGAGGAGCTGAAAAAAGTATTAGTTAATGAGGAATTGATTGATAAACCAGCCCAAATTTATAATGTCGACGAAACTGGTGTGCCACTTGACCATTGTCCACCTCATGTGGTTGTAAAGAAGGGCCAGAGAAAGGTGCGTTGTTGGTCATCTGGAAACAAGAGTCAAGTTACAGTAGTAGCCTAAGCTAATGCTGCTGGATCAACCCTTCCTCCTTTTGTCATATTTGATGCTAAAAGTTTACACATAGCATGGACAAAAGATGAACTTCCTGGTACAACTTATGGATTAAGTAGCAATGGGTGGATAGACATGGAATTGTTCAAGGGCTGGTTTCATGACCATTTTTTAAAGCATGCTGTTAGTGCTCGCCCATTGCTATTACTTCTCGATGGTCATAGCACACATTATAATCCAGATGTCATTCGTCTAGCAAAACAAAATGACGTCATCATTATAACCCTGGTACCTCATACAACTCATGAAATGCAACCATTGGACACATCAGTATTTGCTCTACTTAAGGGACACTGGCGTGATGTTTGTCATGAGTTTCTTCAAAGCAATCCTGGAAAAGTTATTTCTAAGTACCAGTTTAGTTCTTTGCTTTCAAAAGCATGGTTCAAATCCTTAAATCCTACTAATATTATAAATGGATTCAAATATTCAGGAATACATGTATATCCATTTAATCCAGAAGTAGCTTTGGAGAGAATCTATCCTACCAGTGGTCCCAGTAATGCTGCTGTATCTAATGAGGCTCCTA